GAAAAAAAAAAAAAAAAAAAAAAAATTTGTCCCATGCCCCCATGAAAGAGTAATTTAAAAAGTAAAAACAAAAAATCGCTAAACTCATATGTAGGTATATACACATACACACACCCACTCATAAAATTTCATAGAAAAAGATCAGTATTCAGAAAACTTAAACGAAGAGGGAATAAAGGATAACTAGAATTATTTTAAAAAATACTTTGCAGTTTCACAGAGTAGTAAGAAAAACAAAACTAACAAAATATTTACAGTGAAACTAGGAGACAACAGCAACACTACTTGAGATAGGTACTCTTATTATCCCCATTCCAGAGATTAAATATGTAAAATGTAAACAACTGGTGCATAGGAGTAAAGAGTATATGAAGATTCCTTATGTTATTATTCCCACTTTTCTCTGTTTGAAATTATATCAAAATCAGAAGTAACAGAAATTAAAAAAAAAAGTTACAGAAATTGATTCAAGTAAAAATCATCCATGGATACTAAATTTAAGTGGAGAAAGTTTGATTTGAAATGAACGGTCACAAAGTTTCTGCCCACAATTCCTTTTTAGTTGCAAAAGAAGAAAATAATTATGCAGTTGAAAAAAAAAAAGCAACATTTTAATCAAGAGATCAAAATTAACATCACCAAAAAGTAGCAAATGGACAGCAGGTGCCTCTAGAAATAAATTATATCCTGCGAAGACCACAACATCATTTACATAACTTTCTAGCCAAAAATCATAACTAAATTTGATCATGAAGAAATGACAGAAAAAAACAGAGAAACACATAAAACAAGTGGAAGGTACACTTGAAAAACATCAATGTCCTAAAAGACAAAGAAAAGCTGAAGAAAGAAGGAATTCCTTAAACTGCTTAGAACATATATTATTTTCTGGGTCTATAATAGGCACTGGTAATACAAATATGAATAAAACAAAGGCCCTTTGCCAAGGTGAAAATCTTATAGTATACTATTTAATTATTCCTCTGAGACTCCTAACTAAGAAACAAATATGATAGTCATCAATATTTAATTACATAGGAAACAAAATCTAGCACAGAATTTTGACTTAAGTTAGCTAAACTACATTTGCTTCTATTTAAAAGAAAATTCTGTATAGTGTATATGAGGCATTTGTACATTAAAATACCAGGAACCATTTTAACATAGTTTTTTTTTTGATATCTCATATTCAAATTTAAATCTGAGGGTGTTTATACCTTAACCAACATCTTAAGTTTAAATGTCATCAAAATAACATGAAACACAAGGAAAATGAGCCACTAATATTTTTAATGTTTTCCAACCCATGCCAAAACTGTTTACATGATAGTTCTTAGGCATCTCACTTACATTACTTATTACCTGACTATGTCACTAACATGTCAGTTCAAAATATAAGGACTTCATTCTCCCTCTAACTTCCACATAAAAAAATTCAGCATAAGCTTAAATTCTTGTAATTGCTTTGTAAACCACAGTTCCAAGCATATGCAAAATTAGCCAAAATTACAATAATATTAACTCTTTTAAAATGAAAAAGAAAATGTAAAGTTAATCACCATACTTTAACTACTGGATCTCTCAAATAGTAGCCTCTGCTTGGATCATATCACATAGTAAGAAACACTTTTTTATGTTGCAAACTGATATACATATACAAAAGTGTCACAAAATAATTTTTACCCAGAGCAGTAATACAGAATCTCTACTATGTTTCACCTTTAAAATACTAATTCAGGGACTCCCCCAGTGGTCCAGTGGTCCAGTGGCTAAGATTCTGCGCTCCCAATTCAGGGGGCCCGGGTTCGATCCCTGGTCAGGGAACTAGATTCCACATGTCACAACTAAGAGTTCACATGCTGCAAATAAAAGATCTCACATGCTGCAACTAAGACCCAGTGCAGCCAAATAAATACTTTAAAAAATAAAATAAAATAAAAATTTAAACAATTTAAAAATTAAAATATAATAAAATACTAATTCAAAACCCTCCAAATTGATTTCATTACCTACTAAGCCACTAATAGGTCAAGCTATCTATCTATAGTTAGAAAAAATACTGCTCAGAAATACTGAATGAGTTTTAGGAATTATGTGTATGGATATTCATGAAACAATTATTATTTATTATAATGTCATGAAAACACAAAGTAGAACTGTAACTGCTAAAAGAGAAAACAGTACCTATATTTTGTTGCTATAATCCATCATTCATTTTATAACTGGCAAATACTATAAGCAGAAATTCTATATATGGCTTATTACACAAACTTATACATTACTATTTACGCCTATGAAATATAAAACTTAGGAAGTTAACTAAACATTTAATACAAGAAGAGCATGAACCTACCTGTTTTTAAGGCTTAGCTAAACACTTGCTCTATAATTTCCTTGACCATTTCTCTTGACTTCAATGATTTCTTCGTATATAACCTACTGACTAATTATAGAAAATTCCCAACTTAAAAAAATTCTTGTTGGCTTATTCTTTGTTTTCTAAAATTATACA